CGTAAAGCTAGGCAAGCGAGCGTAACATTGGAGAAACATAAGGCTTGAGGCTTATTGATTCTTTAGATCGCAACTGTTTGGATTCGCTTTCCTTCTTAAATATTGGTGTACCATTTTGGCTTCAAAAAAATCTCTTGCTTCTGCCCCTCTCTTTGGGGAGAGGTTGCTTAACTCAGGGATGTGATGTTAGAACGGCCTCCAGGGGGCGCCACGATGCGCTTGCTGGCCGAGCGGACCCCCTCATCCACTTGGGTGCCTGCAGTTAGCAATGAATTCCCAGGGAGAAAAAAGAGAGACAGAGGGGTGTGGACAAGAGAGAAAGTGGATTAATTTTAAGAGTGTAAGATATTAAGTGCCTTCCTAGACTCATCTCCCAAGAAACTTCCATTCCAGTCTGTCAAGTATTCTAGACTTTTCATACCCATCCTCCAGAAAACCACCCTCTGCCAGGAAATTATCTAGATTTCATGGAACTCTCAGCATCATAACACTGATAATAAAAATAACATTGATAACGATATGAAAAATAGCTGCTTACAGTCATTGTGACAGGCAATGTTTTAAACGCTTCTCAGATCATCTCATTCAATCCTCACCACTATCCTTTGAAAGAGGTACTGTTTTATCCCACTTTATAGAGGAGGTGACTGAGGCTGTGAGAGGTTAGGTAACTTGCCCCAGGTCTCACAGCTTGGAGTGGTGATATTCGGGCCCCTGTGGCCACAGCACAAAAGGAAACATCGATGTGCGCTTATGACCATTCAGAAAGGAGTCAGTCACTTTAAGTTCAGGGATCACTGATAGCCAGGGAGCAATGGAAAATGGAAAACACTGAAAAAATTTCTCACAGCTAGCATAATGTGACCTCTGGCAATGTGACCTCAAAACTTTTAGCCCTTTTCCTTTGTCTTCCTGCCCATCTATATCCCCCTTATCGCTTTTTCTCTCTCTTTTCCTGTTTCTCCCATTTCTTACTCCTCCTCCTTCCCCCATAGTTATTTTCTCTTTACATATCTCCTTATCTTGCTTCCCTCACATTTAAATCATTCACCACAGAGATGCAAATCTACATTTACTTTCCCTCATTTTAAGACTACTCGTTATGGAGCAACTGAATAATTATTTTCTATTATTATCAGTTCTTAAAGAATAGATAAGATGAATGATAGGGCTAACCCACGGTAAATGTGCAATCAATGGTAGCTATTGTTGACATTATTATTACTAGGAGGGGGAGAATATAATAAAAATTCTAGGTTAGAAGAAGCTACTGCAACTTGAGCATAAATAGTCTGAGCTATCATTTAATCTGGGCTAACAAAGAAAAGCTGTCACAGTCTAATATAGAAAATCATTATCAATTCATAATGAAAAGCATCCTGCCATGCCCCCAGCCCCACCCCCACCAGGTGTGATCTCTAAGCAGAATTGGTCATCATTTAAACCTGATCTTTAACCTGACTGAGCCTGGGCTTACTTTCTCAACAGGACTCCTCTTTGGTTCAGCAAACCTTCCTGCTTGCCCCAGTAACCTTCTCCCTAAAGGTGATGCGGCACCAGGCTGAAAAAGGCCTTCTGGGTTAGCTCCCAGGATCCCTTGCTAGCCCCAGAGCCCTGATCTTCCCCTCTCTGTTTCTTTCCTGTCTTTCTCACTGGAAGTCACCATCAGCTTGTCCAACTCACCCGACAGGCTAAATCCCGACTGATGGAGGTTCCTCACGGGCGGGGTCGGCCGCGTGGGAGATCCCCGGGTGGAGCCGGCGGGGGTGCCCCCCTTGGGCGTGGTGGTCAGGTCAAACACCGGCCCATCATACATGCCCCTTGGGACCGCGTGCAGGTCTGCCATCTGCAGCAGAGAAAGCACGTCACCGTTTATCCCTTCCACAGTCTTAAGGGTCTCTTCTAGATAGCACAAACATCTCAGTGAATTAAGTGTGTGTAGTGGGAGCCAGAAAATAATAATAATATTTTAAGGAAAGGGGAAGTAGTATAAAATAAAGGGGGAGTGTTACAATAGGGTGACGATGGAGGTGGTTAGTGAAGGCCTCTCTAAATAGGTGAGCTTCGACCTTAAGGATCAAAAGAGCTTGTTACGGGGCCAGGGTTTAGGGAGAGAAGAAGCTAGGGGACGCAGAGGGGTGGTGTGGGTGGCAGCGTTCCCAGCAGAGGAAACCAATGGTGGAAACATTAGGGAATACTGCCTGTATAGGGCCGGAGCAGAGTGGGCGGGAAGGGTAGCAGTTTGAGATGAGGTGGTAGGTGCTGGCAGGGATGAGATCCTGTGGGAGCTCCGCGTTCATGTTCCTCAGCACAGATCAGAGTTGGCAAGCCTTGAAATGAGTGTCCTGTGGTCTGACCTACTGACCTCTGGCTTGGCTGTGAACTTGCCCTGGAGCCTGCCAGCAACGTCACCCAAGTGCATGCTCTGTGCTAGGCCTGGTGCCAGGCACGGGAGCTCATGGTCACAGGAAACATGATGCCTCCCCCAGGGGGCTCGATTACACAAATACTGTGAGAACACCCGAGGCAGCGGTAAGGCCGACACACAACATCCGCCTTCTTATCATTGGCCAGAGGTGAGGCCACGAGGACATGCTGCCAAGGAGCCTGACAGTACGGGATGGCTCAAGTAAGACTCCATGGAAGTCTGCCACACAGCCTGCCTTCTCTGTCAGTGACCCAGGCACAGGCACAGAGGTCAAGTGCATCAAATTTGCAGATGCTAATGATTCAGGTGGGAGGATGAGTCTTGTCCCCAAAACCCTTGAGCAGTAACTCTAGGTCATCATCATTTCTTTGGGTCCAGCATCTAAGTCACATGAATGGAAATAAAGAGCCAATATAAGGGAAGTTTGAGTTTCATTCTGTTCTTTATTGGGCCAATACTGGTGTGTGGAATTTGACTCCATGTAACTAACTTTAAAATGATCACTAATAAAGAGAGAAGAATGGTGAAGGGATTTAAAGCATTGTCATAAAATAAACAGTGGAAAGTCACAAGGATATTTAGGCTAAATGGTAGATGACTTTGGAAACACACAGATGCTCTCAGAGATGGGTTTAGCTCATTCTGTGCAAGTGCCGGGAGCAGAATTGAGCTGGTTGGTTGACTTTAGGAAGGTAGACTTCAGACCAGCAGAAAGAAGTTCATTCTCACAGCTAGAGCTGGTCAGCGGCCTCATAAGACAGGGAGGCGCTCTGTGTTGAAATGCCCATACAGAGGATGATGACCACTTATTGGGATCACTGGGGGTCTGGGAGTGGGATGGGGCACTTATGTATTGAGTTTCTGTGAGCCTTTCTCTGTAGTGTGCACCCATATTCCTGTCCACAGCCCCCCACTTTGCTGTCACCACAACTGAAGACATTCTCCCAGCTGCTGGGGGTGTTGGCAGCAGGAAGTTCTCAGCTGAGTCCCTCTCAAGAATTGCCCTCAGCTGAGGAGAGCCCAAGGCCCTGCCCTCTGCTCAGGAGCAGCCCACGTCCAGTGACTGACTGACAGGTTGACGGTGGAGGAGTAGGGAGCGAATACAAGGCCCAGACCCCCTTCAATGACCAGGCCAGGTCCAAATATCCCATTTATCAGCTGAAGACTTTGTTGGGGAAGATCTCCCTCTCAGAGCCTGTTTCCCAGTCTCTCTTTCTCACCCTGACCTGCAGGGAGGCTGGGGGCCCTGGGGTAGGTCCAGACACAGAGGTGGACATGGCTGTTTCCTCTGGACTGGCCCACAGTGATTTACAAAGCGAGCCCCACTCCTCCTCCTCTCCCCACCATCTCCTCCATCCCACGCACCCAGATGACTGTATCCCTTCTAACGACGAGGTCAGGAGCAGGGCTCAAATTCCACGATCCCAGGGCTGGTCTAACCCTGCTTTGTGGAGCCCTAACTTTACAGGAAGGTGACCTGGAGATTGGTGTCGGGGTGGGAGGGGGAGCTGAAAAGACAGTTCTGGGCCTCACCCCTAAATCAACAAGGGCTACTCTGTTTGTCATGTGTAGACATACAGAGAGACAGATATATATATACATGTATACATATGTGTATGTGCATACAGCTATCTATCTATCTGTGAAATCAGGGACATAAATAAGATTTTACTTGAACCACAGAACTAGCTAAAAGAGTTACAAACAATTGCCCCCACAGAGCAACCCTGGACAGGATGGGAGAGGGAGGGTTGGTGTGGACTGCTGGTTCTCACTGTAAGCCTGAAAGAGTAACTTATTTCTAAAAAATATACACTGATGTGATTTTGAATTATTAAAATTTTAAATTTTTTTAAATAAAAGCACTATAAAAATGGAGGAAACTCATTTTGAAAACGCTTTCTTTAGCCAAAAAGGTTTTTGAAACCCTCTTTTATAGGACATTAAATCTATGCAATTGTCCTTCAGGAAGAGATGGTTGCTGTGAATTTCTCTGGGAGGGTCCAGATCATACAGACCCCTCCCAATCTCAGGGTTACTGTCCCTGTGCCTGAATGGGACACAGCCCCTTCCCCACACCCCCGGGGTCCATCTTACCTTCCTCCGGGCTTTAATGCGTTTGTAGACGTAGTCGGAGAACGGGCTGCAGGGGATGAAGCGGCCGGCCCCCTGTGTCACGTGCAGGTTGCCATCTTCCAGCATGATCTTGCCCTGGCAGATGACCACCAGAGGAGCTCCGCGCAGCTCCATTCCTTCAAAGATGTTATACTCTGCAGCCTAGAGACAGGGTGAGGACAAAGCCATGGGTGTGGATGCAGGAGGGGGAGAAATAGGAAGTGGTTCTCCTGGGTTTGAGATCCTAACTTCAGGGTCACTAGGAACTGATTCACCAGGTAGGCCAGGAAAAGCTTACAACGATCTGCAAGCTTTCAGTGGGTAGAGGCACTGGGAGACAGATGCTCACTAAGTAAAGGCTGGAATTCCCAGCAAAGAGAAGCATCAATTTTTAGTAAGGTCCTCACGTGGAAGTTAATTTAGTCACCAGCAGCGTTCAGAGAGAAGCTGGATAACCATCAGGGATGCTGTACTTGGCAGTCTCGTGTTGGGTGGGTGGGTGGGTTACATGACCCTTAGGTCCCCACGAGCTCGAAATTAAATAATGCGATACAACATAATGTTTAAGCAAAGGCCATTCCCACCCAAAATGAAGTTTCTCTCCACCTTCTTCATTTATTCAAGAAGTTCAAGGCATTATTGCAAAGTGATTAAGGACATTGGTTTGGAGTCAGGTCGTCTGGGTTTGAATCCGAGCTTCACCATTTCCTTGCTGCATAAGTTATTTAGTCTCTCTGCATCTCCATTTCCTTATCTATAAAATGGGGATAATAATAGTGTCTACTTGTAGAAGACTGCTATGAAGATTCAATGAATTAAAGTGCTTGAAAAATATTAACTATTTCTACTAACAAGAATGAAGCCCCTTTCTGTTAGGTACTGGGCTTTATTATCTTCCACATGGAACTCCTCACGAGGAAGTCCTCAGTGCTGGTCACCAATTTTTTCCTGTTCTTTCTCCTCCTATCACTGCACTTCCTGCCCCCCCTGGAGGAAAGTATGGCCACATGACTGGCTTTCGCCAAGGCAGTGAGAGAGGAAGTAATGTCTTGGGAAAGCTTTCAGAGCCAGTACACCGTTTCCCATGTCCTGGCCTCCGGCCTCAGCAATCATGGAAGTGTGGGTAGAGATGGCATCTCTATCAGCCTCCGTCCCTGAGTGACTGTGATGGGCACAGCCCCTCTGCTGACCCATTTTGGAAAGTGGGAGTGAGAAACAAACTGTTGAGGCCTTACATCACAAAGAATTTGGGATGGTTGTTATTGCAACACATCCTTGTCTGACTACTCTGGTACACCCCATACACACATCTCTGCTGACCAAGCTCCTTGCACGCATTCTCCCCTCTGCTCCACTCCCACCAGCTCAAGGCTTACCGACTGGTGGTTCTTGGCAGAAACAATCTTTACAGCATCTGGGTCCCAGATCACCAAGTCGCTGTCAGAACCTACAGATATTCTTCCCTTGCGGGGATACAGGTTGAAGATCTTGGCAGCATTTGTGCTTGTCACAGCCACAAATTGGTTTTCATCCATTTTCCCTGTGGCCTAGTGAAATACAAAAAACAGAAAAATTGCCAATCTAGGGCTTCTGAGCTCAGAGCAGGGTGACCACCAAAGCCCAGAAATACAAAGAGGGGCCTCTGAGGTGGTGAGGAAGGAAGTTCACCCAGCAAGCCACGGAACTGGCTCGGCTGTCATGGTTGCCCAGGCAAAATGGCTAAATGTATGGCTTAAGATGGAAGTTACTGCTCCTGAAGTTTGCATATGTGCATACATTCACTTACTTTTTTATCCCTTCTAATTCCAGAAAAGATTATAGAGAGTTCACAGTAAAAACAAATGTGATTATGAGCCCATTTCTTTAGATATGTGTTTGTATTTGCATGGGCGTAGGATAACTATGGAAGAACCTCACCCAGATGATAACAATAGTCATCTCTGGCTTGTGGGATTATGAGTGATTTTTGTTTTCTTTCGTCTGTGTACTTTTCTGTGGTTTCCAAATGTTCTTTATTGAGCATGTATCATGTTTGTAATTAAAACATATATATTATTTTTTAACAATTCCAGATAGTGCCAATATAAATACATATGTCCGTTAATAGACATAACAATGTAAAAAAAAAGACAAAATCTGAGTATGTAAGAGAAGAGACAAAAATATTTATACTTTTCCTCTTCTTAAAACAAAAACCCTGGGTAAGGAAAGAAGAATTTAGTTTAAAATCTAGCTTTGAGCTTCCTGGGAGCCAAGAAGGGAAACTTGGTAGATTACACTGTGTAGACGAATGAGGCATTAGTTCATATGCATTCTGTTTGCCTCTGAAATGAGTGTCTTTAGGGTTTTTAAAATAAAACAGAGGGAAGTAGTCAACTTAATAATGAGTTATTCATTTTATTAAAATCTTTGGGAGAGACTTCATTTCCATAGCTATTTTTTTTGTCAACTTCTGTGACGTTAAGAAGGAAAATAAACGAGGCCACTTTGCCAGAAGACATTGATAGACAATCCCTTGTACAGCCTGGATGACCACACACCCAGTGTAGGGCATCCTTGATGAGCAAGAGGACTTTAGTCTTAGGCAGAGACCCCGTGCTTATCATTTCCAAAGGGTTATATCCACCTCTTTCAAAAGAAGTGATACACCTCTTTCAAAAGAAGTGATACAACTCTCCAAACAAAAAGAATTTTAATTCACTATTATTTTAAGTACCGATCATTCATGACATCAGAGGAAGAATCTGTATGTCTGGTTCCTAGTCCTTAACAATCTAGGAGGCACCCTCAGAATCCCAGACCTCAGGATTCATCATTATGCTAGAAGGTACATTCCCAAACCACCTGAGCCACCTGGTTCCAGAGACACCTCAGCAGGTATGAGGCCTCATTTGCACTCCCACCACCCCTATCAGAGGGGTATAGAGGAGCAGTGGCAGGAGGCTCTGATCTGGCCCTGGCCATCCTTCCGTGACCTCGATCCTTACCACGGCCTTGTCCCAGATGACAGACATCCGCTCCTCCACACCGTTGGTGCCCTCGGGAATGGCTGTGAAGTTGTCCTTCCCAATTGCTTTCTGGGCAGTGCTGAAGGTGCAGTGGGCACTCCCAGAGAGCTGCAGGTCCCCACTAGCAAAGGAGAAAAGCTCCATGTGAACAAGAGAAGTGGCTAGAGGCACCTCGGGGACCCAGAATCGAGTGCCTAGTGTAAGCGTTTGGAGCAGCGCCATTACTTGAGTTTGGAATCCTTCCTCTACCTCTTGCCAAGACGTACACTTGGGTGAATTTCTTCCCCTCTTTGGGGCTCAGTTACCCCATCTGGAAAATGAGGGGGTGGGATTAGATCATCTGTTGTGTAACAAAATAAAAGGGAGCCAAATGAGTGATGGGACTGATCTGCAGAGGCAGCAGCAGTCTCCCTGTAATTTTGGTCAAGTGGTCATCATGACCAGCTGTTCACACTTCGGCAAATGATTTAGTCTCCCTGACCCTCAGTTGCTTAATCTGTAAAATGGTGATAATACTCCCCATTCATAAAGTTCTTATGAGGAACAATAAGATCATGCATGCAGTGCTTGGCATGCAATATGTATTAACTGCTATTATCATTATTAATATGATTACTGTAGTTATTGTTTTAAAAATATGACGGGGAAGAGCCTGTTGTCTGTGCTCAACACTGCAGGGGAATTCTCAACGTGTTTTCCTCACTGCAGACTCTAGTCTAGCTGATGGATGGGCTGCTCCAGTCCTCCTCCCACCGGCCCCACGATGTTTCCACACAATCCCTGCTTCTTGTCATTCTGCACCAACCTGGCCAGCAAGGAGTTGATGTAGTCAGGAGTAGTGGGGTCAGGACTCAGAGGTGGGGATGTCACAAAGGCAGCAGCCTTAGCCCAGTTCTTGCTCCAGTAATGGGTTCCATCTGTGCCCAGGCTGGCGGTGATGGGCTCGCCAAAGACCACATTTCCTGGAAAAGGTGGGAAATAGGCAATGGGTTTGTATAACGTACGTGCTGCCCTGGGCCCAGCTTAGAGAATCATAGCCCCCAAGCCTACTCAAGGCTGTGGCTCTGGAGTCAGGCATGCCTGGGTTCAAGTCCACATTCCTACCTTTTCTAAGCCTCTGCTTTTCTATCTGCTAAATGGGAACGATTTTGTATTCCCTAGATTACAAGAAGCCACTGGTTGCAAGATGCAGCATTAATTCTCCATTTTTGAGGAAATTAAAATTTGAAGCAAAAGGAAAAAATATATACATTGATTATCAGATTCATCCTCATTTCAGAAATGTTAAAATGTGGAATAGATCTGTCCTGGAATTGATGAAATAAGATGATGTCTACTTCTCAGTCTTGTGAAAATGAAAACATTTGGCATATACAAAGTGTTTGAGCACACAGGAGTGCTCAATAAATGTGATTTCTTTATACCTCCTACTCCTTCCCATTGCAGGGGCCCAAAGCCCCAGATGTGCCCATGTCACTGGGCACTGCTAGATCCTACTGTTACAAGGACATGCTTTGGTTCCACAAAGTAAAAGCTACTCCTGTGGATGAGAGGCTCCATGATCTTTTCCACCATGTTTGTTACTCCTTAGCCTAAGGCAAGGAGTGATTTGCTCAAGGACACCCAATAACCTGGGGCTAGCTTCTTGGACCCTGTGTCTGGAATCAGGAGCTTAAATGCCCAAATCAAGGAGAGGGGAGGAAGGGTATTGGGAAATACACTGATCTAAGCTGAGCTTCTTAAAGAAGAAGGGATTAGACGGCAAAGGCTGTCTCACAGAAAGTGGGTCGGTACCAAGTTTCTCTGGGCCAGAATCTTGAGCTAGATTCCTGTACAGCCCTAGGCTTCATTAGATTTGATCCTCATCTTCCACATTCAAGTTTCCCACAAGGTCAAAGTTTAGGAAGGCTCTATGGCCAGAATTATAAATAGGTTTTGCCTTGCTTCAACTCCAATCAATTGATTTTAGTTGCCTGGAATTCTGCGTCGAGAAGAATTCTAAATACGCTTCTGATCTCACTAGAAAAGACTCATGATTGATTTGTGATGTCTGCCATGAGCAAAAGAAGGAAGCAATGGTAACGATTCACATATGACAACCCTGCTATTTGGGGCAGCAGTAAAAAGGATCCACACCCGACTAATGAGAATTTCAAGGGCTCTCCAAAAATATTTACCAAACTAAAGCATACAGGACCATAAAGAAATAAAGAAAGTCAAGGCAAGCACTCAAATATTATTAAGAGAAATACAACCTTAAACAATGGAAGAACTCTCCCTTTGGACTTTCTTTAGACGGAAGACTCAAATGAGCAAAGTTTGTAATTATACCTGGGTTTGAACGCTAGCTCTCCCAGCTGAGAGATCCTGGACAAGTTGCTTCCATTTCCTCATCTGAAAACTGGTGATAATGCCCATTTCTCAGGGTTCTTTGAGAATTCTACATAATAATAAATTTAAAGTTTTTATCGCAATGTAGTGCATACAGGTGGTCCTTGTTAAATCATAGATTCCTAATATTAATTCTGAGCAGCCATGCTGAGTTGCTCAAGAGCACTTGGTGATTAAACAGACTCGGATTTCAGTAATAATCTGGTCAGGAGGGAAGAGCAAACCCTGTTACACTCTCTCTTCCTGCTCTGAACGCTCTTGACTCTTTCCCTGAAAATGACAGTTCATGAGATGTTTATTGGCTTCAATCTCACCAGCCAGTTTTTCATCACTGAAATAATGCCTCCCTTCCACCCTGGAGACACAGCTGTACTCATTCGTCTTGCCAGAGACTCATGAGCCAGAAAGCTAGGGGTGAGGAATTTTTTGACATGAAGTTGAAAATCAGATCCAGCATATAATTGAAACAGCCTGTCCTTGAGAACCCCAGGTCATCCTGAGAATGGATCCTAGGCAGGAAGTAGGCATCAGCAGCAGGTATCAGAGGATGAGTGTGGTGGGTGGTCACGGGGAGAGATGTGGACTTCTGTTTTCTTTTTGCCTTTCTCCAAGAATGGGTAAGGAACAGTGGGCTGCTTTCCTGGTTCTTGCCCAATGACTCATACCCAGTGGAGCAACCACAATGTCGTGTTGAGACATTTAAAAGCTGAGAGAGAAAACAGCAGGCTTACTGGGAGCAGGGTTAGGCAGGAGGTGCCCCAGAATCTGCCGGCTAGAAAGACTGTCTAGACAATTAGGAATATTCCCCTCCCACAAGAAAAGGGTCCCCTTTGCCAGAAAGTCAGGCAGCTGAATACTCAGCCATCAGAGTCAGCTGGGACTATTTTAAGCCTCCGCAGTCACTCACACGTGGAGTTTTACAGACCAGTTCTGAGTTTGGTGGATGAATCACTCATCTTGGGTCTCTCCACTACCAGAATGGCCAGGGGCACACAGCGGTAATGATCATACCAAACACGGAGCCCTACGCCTGCAGTTTCTCAACCACACTCTGTTCACAAGTGAGCCCATCAGTGTGCCACTGAAGACAAGAAAAAAAGGCAGAAAAGAAAGCTTTGACATGGGAGTAGACTTTAGCTAAGCACAGGGGAGTAAACGAAGCCCAAGTTAACACTGATGGAGGAAAGCAGCAGAAATCAGAAGGCGGTAGAGACAGAGCCCCATGAAGGCCTTGTCGCCAGACATGCTTGGAGACCCATTCAACCCCTTTTCTATAATAACTTGTGCTACCTTGTGTGGCTCAGGTCATGGGACTCTGCCCCTGCATTGCCCTCACCCCTGGTCAGTCAATTATAACAGCCCCAGAGCCGTAGTTGCTTCAGGGATGCGCCCATGACCCAAGCCAAGGTAATGACAGTTCTCTTGGGACTTATGCTTGAGCTATTAGAGAAGCTGTACTCCACCTCCTCGTCATGTTCCCTACCAAGTGTTGAGGACAACAGGAGTCTCTTGGCATTTATTCTCATCACTGTTCATACTGGAAATAAGGCCAACGGAGAGGAAAGCAGAGCCAAGAAAGGAATAAGAGTGATAGAACCCTAACGTCATTGTTTAAACCCCTTGATCCAGCCATACCTGAAACATCTTCAACCAATAATTTACTTCTGTTTGTTTGTTTAGTCAGTTTGAGTTGGATCTTTGATTTCTGCATCCAATATAATCTTGATTAATATGTCCATTTATATAGCTCAGATAATGTGATCTGACAATGAAAAATCAAAAGGAGGAAGAAAGACGCACCAAGTCTCCAAAGAACTGATTCCAGTTGTGTCATCTCGGGCAGACCTCTCACCTTTCCTGACTTCAGTGTACTCATCTGCCAAATGGGAGAAATCCCATGATCCTGCCATATACACAGGATGCAGAAAGGATCAAATGGGCTAAGATGGATGGGGGGCTTCCCAGAGACCAAAGCAATGAGTAAAATAGGTACCATTGATACAGGACAGCCAGGGAGGGAAGGAGCCACATGGTGTGTCAACGGCTCCGAGATCTTGGGAGCACAAATCACCTTTTTTCCTGGCTTGTGAGATGAGGTCGGCCGCACTCTTGCTCATGACCTTCGTGACGTAGAGAGGACAGTTGGTTTGGCTGGCGATGGTGATGGCACGGAACACAGCCTCAGCTTCTAGCTGCAGAAGAAAGTCCCCAGGAGTCAAGAGGAGCAAGAGCCTCTCAGAGAGCCATGCCCCTGCACCCACAAACTGAGACTGCGGTGTAGCACAGAGGTTAGGAGGGCACCTGGAGTTAGGTGCCCTTGATTCAGAGCTCAGACCTACCGCTTCCCAGCTGCACCACTTTACCTGGCTTCTCAGTGCCTCCGCCCCTCACCTGTGACGTGGAGACCAGGCGAGCGTAGCACAGGGTGGTTCTGTGACAGCAGTGCCTGGCACAGAGTAAGCACTGCATCAACATAGCTAGAGTCTTCCCTGTGATTATTATAAAGGCTACATGTCATGGAAGCCTTTGCCCCCCAGTCTTCCCAGGGCAGATTCTCTAAGCAAAGCACAACAATCCCAACACCGACATGTACAAAAGACCCAGTGAAAGCAATTAGGCATCACATTTCCTCCAATCCTTTCCTGCAGCAATGGGCGGTCAGCGATGGGTTAATTCCAGCAGGCATTTCTTATACTAATAATTCCCAGGCTTCTCAGCACAAAGACTTCTTTTATTATCAATCTCGTCCATCCCTCTAATGTAGAATTCATGTTTTCAAATATGCTAACCAGCCCAGTTGCATTTATTAAGTAAGAAATAATGAGTTTTCCCTATTTTATTAACAAAGTCGGGTCTGAGAGCTCAGGCCTTCTCAAATGGCCTGGGTGTGAGTTCTGGTTCTGCCACTTAGAAGCTGGGTGACCTCAGGTAACCTACGCAACCTCCTCAAACCTCAGTTTCCTTGCCTGTAAAGTGGGGATAATAGGACCTGACACATATGGCTGTTGTGAGGATTAAAAGAGTTCATCCCTGTAAGGCAATTAACCCACTCCTGGGACAAGGCAGTGTTCCTTGAAGGCTGGCTATTGGTCTTATTGCTGATCACAGCCTCCATCCAACGCGTGAGTCTGTGTTACTACCCAAAGCCTGAGTTTGTCCAATTCAGCCTAAAGCAGAGATGTTGGCATTTTTCCATGCCATCGGCAATACTTCTTTTTTGGATGGATATGAGGTTCTGGTTAGCCCATGCAGCCTGATACTTTCAAAAATACCAAAAATAGCTTGCAGATGCCCAGTGTGTGTATAATGCAAACCAGTTACTGCCCGTGGTGGGTGTGGCTCAGCAGACAGACTCTACGGACTTGGCTGGTCCAGCTGGCGTCCCCCAAGCTGCACTCTGTTCCACGTGGACGAGACCCTGGAGGCCCCTGACCACAGGTGAACGTGGCCACCTTCCTGAAGCACCCAGACTTTGGGAGTTCTGGAGTGGCGGTCTCCGGGCCTCGGGTTCAGCTCTCTGAACAGCATCACTCGAGATGGTATCTGGGTGTGCTATGAACTGAAGAGGGGCTGGCTCCTCCTCTGCCCACTCCTCCCTCTTCACACCTATGCTGACCACTCCAGCCCCCCATGACCTCAGTCCTGGCCCCTTTGACCTCACTCCCTCGCAGCTCTGCAGGTTTCTCAGCACCTTGACGACATGACTATCTTTGGAAGGTTACATCACCCTCCGACTTCACCCAAAAGGGCTTCTAGGGTTGTCGAGATCTGCGGCTGAGAGGCTTTCTACTAAAAAGGAGACGGGAACAGGGAGGAGGGTGGGGTGGAGGGGTTGAAAAAACAAACCAAGGAACAAAAATAGACTTTGCTCAGAAATCCCCTGGCTGCTGCTGAAGAGATCTATCTTGCCAGCACATCTCTACAGTGACCAGCATTTAAGAAAAGTTGCACAAACAGTGCTGATCACCCTGGCCTGCTCACACTGTGTAAACAACTTTCCAACAGGATCGGCCAGTGGCTTAACCTGTCTGAGCTTTAGCTTCTTTACGTAACAATAACACCAACCCCTCAGAGCACCGGCAAGGATAACTGAGATAATGCAATTAGCACAGTCCTGCCTGTCAGCAAGTATTCCATAGGAGGGGCCTGCTGTTAAGGAGACAGACTTTTCAGGAATGCTGTGACTGTAACCCCGATCATAAATTTTTTCTTATTGAGGTATAATTGACATATAACACTATATTAGTTTCAGGTGTACATGTAATAATTTGATATTTGTATATATTGCAAAATGATCATCACAATGAGTCTAATTAGCATCTGTCACCACACATAGTTACAAAATTTTTTTTTTGTGATGAGAACTTTTAAGATCTACTCTCAGCAACTTTCAAAATGCAATACAGTATTAACTATAGTCGCCGTGCTGTAGATTATTACATCTCCATGATTTATATAGTTTTATAACTGGAAGCTTATACCTTTTCACCACTTTCATTCAATTCCCCTACCCCCTGCCTCTGGCAACCACCAATCTGTCTCTCTATCTATGAGAGCTTGTTATTGTTTTTGTTTTAAGACTACACATATAAGTGAGATCCTATGGTATTTGTCTTCCTGACTTATTTCACTTAGCATAATGCCCTAAACATCCATCCATGTTGTTGCAAATGTCAAGATTTCATGCTTTTTTATGGCTGAATAATATCCCATTCTGTGTGTGTGTTTGTGTGTGTGTGTGTGTGTGTATGAGTATGTATATATATCCATTCTATGTGTGTGTGTATATATATATATATCACATTTTCTTCATCCATTTATGGACACTTTGTTTCCATATCTTGGCTATTGTAAATAATGCTGCAATGTATATGGAGGGCGCAGATATCTTTTCAAATTAGTGTTTTCATTTTCTTCCAATAAATAGACAGAAGTGGGATTGCTGGTAGTTCTATTTTTAATTTTTTGAGAAACCTCCATACTATTTTCCATAGTGGCTGCACCAATTTACGTTCCCACCAATAATCAAAATTATGAATTATTCCAACAGGCAACAAAAATATCATTAGACAAAGGAGTTTATGGAGTGTTGACAATGTTCTGTTTCTCCAGCTGGGTGCTAGTTACAAGTGTATTCAGTTTGTGAAAATTCATTGTACCTTTAAGATAGGAATACTTTTCTCTATGTGTGTTACATTTTAATTTCAAAAAAGATTCTAAAAGAGATGGGCAATGGGAATACAATCATTTCTGGTTCTGACTCCTTCCTCTACCTGTTGTACAGTGTGGGGCTTGAAATGACAGAACAGGAACAGGGTTCTCTTCGCTGACTTGGAGGGCCTTGAATTTGCTCCAGGTGCCAGACCCAGGCTGGTCTCCCAAAGCCAATATGCTCTTAGCCAAACGGGGAGCCAATTCCCAGTTCTGTGTCCTGTGCCAGCAGCTGAAATTGCTGACATCTCAGAGACATGGAATCAGCTACTAGTCACCTTTCATTCACTCTTCAGCTGCTAAGTACAGTTGCCAATCAGCATTCATTTTACATGTGGGAAATACTGTAGACCTGGATGCAATCATCACCTTACACAAATCAATAGATATAATGCCCATGAAAAACCCATTCAACCTCCTATCCATGTGGCTGATATTTTGCAAGACTCAAAATATACTACGGAATAGGGAAGTAAGTGGAAAGCCTCTGAGATTCACACTGATTAAGAAAGGATTTAGATATTTACCACTCCCACTGAAGAACTGGAATACACTCCAACTTGTGTTATCTTGAAAGAGATTAGGGGTTAGAAGTGAGCCTTTTCCTTACATTCTTTTCTAATTTTCTCAGGGGCTCTTGAGTCAGAAGTGGTTTTTGGAAGAAATGTTCCAATATTGCTGTCTGGTAGTCATAGTCTCACCACCTTTCAGCTGTGTTTGTTCATACACTGTGTGTGTGTGTGTGTGTGTGTGTGTGTGTGTGTGTGTGTGTGCCTAGGGAAGGCAGGCCAAAAGCAAACCCTCCAAATGTAAAATGAGCAGCAGGCCATAAGCGAGGCTGCTGGGGATGTGATAACAGGAGTCTCCAGGAAGAAGCTGGTAAAAAAAGAGGCTCCATTGTTACTGCTTCTCTCTCTTCCTCCCTCCTCCTCCAACTCCCGTCTCCCTTACCTCCTCTGGTCTGCTCAGTACATGGCCCTCTGGGCCAGTTATCCCCATTTCCAACATCCGGGTTTGCTCCTAGAATGAAAAAAGAATAGACACCAGTTTTTAGATGAGCTCAACTGAGGTTTGGAAAAATTATGCTGGTATGTTCTAATCTAAAGATGTGTCCAAGGGAAAAAAAGAATAAAATGTGTACGTTGAACAAATTTGTTAATTCTGTATCTGGAATTGCAAAATAGGGTAGAGTCTCAACTAAAAGAAGAAAAAAACATTTAAGGGTGGCTTGCTTTTATTAAAACGAAGACAGTTTATCAGGTTTTTTTCCCCTACATTACACATTAAAAGTCACACCAGCTCACTTATTCTTCATTTCCTTCAGATGCAGACACCTCTGAAAGAACACTCGCTTAACTTTGTTCATTCATTCAATAAAATGTGCTAAGTATCCACTTCATGCCAGGCTCTAGGTTAAGTACTCGAACGAAGGCAATGAGGCCCCTGACTTCACTGGGCCTACAGTTTAGTGCTACATTTCCCCAAGTATGGTCCACGCACCACCTACATCTGAATGACTTGGGTTGCTTTTGCAGATGTGCAGATGTCTGGCTCTCTCCAGGCCTACCAAGTCAGAATACATGAGGTTAAATCCTAGGAATATGCATTTTAATAAATTCCTCAGGCTTTTTTATGCTTTAAATTTATGACTTAAATCAATGAATTCAGAATTTAACCAGACAACATAATGTCTCTCAACAGCATCACCTGAGATGGTCTTTTGGTCAAATTCTATTTAATTAGGTAGGTAGAACTGTCTACCCCTCGTGGCTGATGGCGAAATTCCTCAGACTTGTGGCCAGCTTTCTGGAAGAAGCAAGTGGCTGGGCAGTGAACACACACGTGGGTTAACTGGAATTGGCACAAATCCTAAGCCCCCATATCTGCAGTTTTGCTGACATTCACTCTCAAACTACTAGGGCCAGTTCCTATGAACCTCAGCACTGGTGACGCGAGAGCTGAAGGAAAGAGAGGGAACCGAACAGAACCTTGTCACACTTTGAAACTATGAGATGCTAAGAAAGAAAGGGATTCCTTCTACCTGGAAAAGAAGAACTATTTTTTGTTGTTTTATATTTTTAATAATATAAATTTTTAAAAGAGGAGCAGGAAGGAAGTTGCAAATACTATAAGCAACCACGAGAAGTAACATGGTTACCGTCTCCAGCTCTACAGAATTCGAAAAGGGGTGAGAGGCTGATTTTTCCAGCAAAGTACCTCCACTCTTCATTCTTACTGTTCCATTTATGGAAACTTGGACTGAATATAATCTCTTCCAAACTCTGGTGGGTTTCCACTCTGAATTGCCTCCTGAAGTTACACAAGAGTTGAGGTGTCCAACTAAAGCATCTTCTGTCTTATATGACACTGTCACTTTTATCTTGTTCAAGAGTACTAAGACAATGGACAGGATGAAGCTCACTCCAGCAGTGGTTTCCAAGCACATTCGAATCACCAGGGGCACTTTTCAAAATACATTTGCCTGAACTCTGCTACTGACCTCCTGACTCAGAATCTCCAGAACAAGGAGAATTCCAGGAATCATTCTCTAATCTCCCCAGGTGATTCTAATGCATTGCTCATGCTGGGAAGTGCTGTTCCAAGAACCATGGTGTCTCTATAGCTGGAAGATTAAGAATGGCATGTAGGGACCATTGATGCCACCTTACATGGGTTGGGGAGCAGTAGGCACTTTGAAGCACTGAACACTGCTGTTTGGGTCATGGCACAATTTTGGTTTGCTCCAGGAGGAAAGGGATCCCGTCTTTTTCATCTTCCCTCTCCAAGGTTTGGCACATAGGAGGCGCTCAATAAATACTTGTTAGATGATTGGCTAAAGATGCTATACACTCAGACTGTCCTGCCAGCTTGAAACTTTTGAAAATTTCTCCTGTTGGGACCCATAGGAAATATTTCTTCTTGCTCTCTAGTCCCTTTTGCATAAAGTGCAGCAAGAAACTCTGAGTTCAGCAGCTGCCTTCATTTAGACAACGTGATAAAATCTTCCAGCTCAAGCTGAATTTAATAAACACACACAAGAAACTCTCCAACTGGAAAAATGCCCTTATTCTTTTCCTGACTGAGAGCAGATCCTCCCAAGGTAGGGAAGGGTGGAGGTGGGGGAAAACCAGAGAAACTTCTGTGCTAAGGAGCCACAAGAGGAAGCTGGAAAAGGGGGCTTTGAGTTGGAGCCTATTTGCATCCACAGGGCCTGAAAAGAAGAAGCAGGTTTGGTTTCTAGGGCTTCTGGAGGGAGGGCTGGGACCTCTGGCTGCAGCACTGAAAACTCAGAGAAAGGAGAGGCATGACAGCTCTAACACCACTGGGAGGCCTCCCATAGGAGCAAGGCACTTGGACCCTCTTTGGAAAATGATTTCATTATCTCTGGGCGTGTGGGGGACGTGGGAGAAGGCTGCCAGGGGCCTGACTAATTAACCTCTTTGGTCATAAGCGAGAAGAAACTGCACACTTAGCTCCCCTCCTCCACTAGTGAGACAAGACTCAGAAGCTGAAACCCTAACAGCTAGAGCCCTGCACTGCTGGCGTGCTGCCCCTCCAGGAGGCCTGCAGCTGGACTGATGGAGCAAGGGGCCCTCGATGCACCATCTCCGTCTGGGTAAAGATGTCCACTGAGGCACATCACTTTAGGGGCTAAGATTCTGTTCTCCCAGGTATTGGCTGTGATCCTTGGGCCAGGGACGTAATCCTTCTGAGCCTCAATGTTCTCATCTACAAGACAGAGACGATGGCAGCCATCTTTAAAGGGCTGGGTGAAGATGAAATGAGAACATACTAGAGCATTTACCAGTCCTGGCCCACAGTAGGAGGTGCTCACCAAATGGTAGCTGCTGTTAGAAGCTAACGGGTCTGAGATGAAGGTCGGCCTCAGCATTGTTCCCACACCCCCACTGACCACACTCACCAAGTCCTGGACAACTTCTAAAATGAAGGCACAGCCCAGTACTTGTGAGGGATGCATGCATCTGTTTTGGCTCACCTCTATAGCCTAGTGCCTGGCACAAAGCGCTTGGGAAATAGTCTTTGAAAGAATGAATAATGCCTTCTTGTTGTTAATGTTATCAAATCGACTAAGAGAGCTCAGTTTCTGGCTGCCTCCTCCTAACGGAAGCCAATCTCGAACATTTCTGAGATAAACAAAACTCTGGCTAAGACACATCTGTGCATCTAGCCCATTAGGCAACCCAGGAGATGGAGAGAGAAGTGCTTTCTGCTCCCTTACAAATGATCACTTTGGGCCTTGGGGCCTTACTTTCATCACTCTTTCTTCAGGTTTCTCAATATGATTTCGAGGAAACCAGTGGGACGTCTGATCCCCACAAGACCTAAATTCTTTATTATCTAAGGCTGTGAGTTCCGCAGTTCCGGATCGGAGGTCTGGCTTCCGAGAAATACTGCCTTAGGGTTTTTCTTTAGGACAGAGAATGTCACAAAGCTTAGAGTCATTCTCAAAACAGAATCAGCAATGCTCTCTCACTAAAGGGCCCGATTTGAAAACCTCCTCTTCCAGGATGCCTTTTCTGAGTCTCCAGAATGGCCAGACCTCTCCCTATTTTACAGCATCTTCCACTTTCTCCCTCGCTTGCCTACATTGCCCCCTCTTTCTTTCCTCCTCCTAGACTGTGAGGTCCTTTAGGGTAGGTTCTGTTTTTAGCAGAATACTTACGTTGGGGCCTTGCTCATTTTGGGAGCTCAAGCAACAGTGAAGAAATGAGGAAACAAATGGGATGTAGACCTGAACCCACGCAGAAAGCACACTCCAGGGAGCTGCACCATGTTACCTGGGCAATGATATCCCCATTCTCAGCATGAACTTGAGCAATGGCTCCCAGCTCTCCCAGACAGGTGAAGATCTCGTAGAGCTGAAACAGAAATGAGTCTTTGTCACCTTCACAAGCCACTGGTGCTTTTAGCAACCTCACACAAGGGCCAATTACTAGAACCAGAACTAAAACAAATGGGATAAACCAGAGGAAATAAGTGACTAATGCAGAAATACAGACTAAAACATGCACAACAAAATTCGAAGGGCACTCTAGGAAGCTGTCTGTATAAAGATCCTATCATGTCTCCTAGGCACACAGGGCAAATATGTAACAAAGTGCTACCAGTCCCCCTCCTCTGCCTCCTGCACACATTTTAAATGGAATTATGTCCCATTGAGCTGAGATGCAGCTTCAGGATCCTTCTCAACAAATGCTCCCCAAAGCCACTACAGCCCGACCAGAAGCTAACACAAAAGCTTGAAACGTCTATCTCTTAACCTCCTTTCATCTCCTAACCAGGAGGTATGGGAATTAACTTCTTGTATTTCCTCTGAAAACTTGAGATTTGTCTAAAAAAAATACACCCCATGAATTTCTTAGGGAGAGAGGCAGAGGCAAGCTGCTACGATTATCCCAAATAGCAGAAGGCCCCCCTCAATCCTGCAAGGCTGAGCACCTCACACCTTCACTGAGCTCATAGGGGTTTGGAGGTTGTTTGATAGATGGAGATTGAGGCATGCCCTTCCTCTCGTCCTTTTGAGAATGCTGCTGCCAGTGGAAATTCTAACTCCCTGTCTGTCTTGCCACGGCACCCTGCCTGTTACCTTATTTAAAATGTAGTGTGGACTACGAGGGCTTCAAGAAGCACTCTTGCCCAGCGGTCTCCCACAGTGACCACAGTGACTCATGTTCAAAGAGCCAAGGTCATCAGCAACGACAGGAAACCCATCCAGATACCCGAAACCACACAGCAATCGGTTGTTACCTCCGTGTTGGACACTTGATACAAATCCTTATAGGCCATGTAAACCATGAAGGAGTTAACTCCTGCAAGAGAGGGAAGGGAGGGAAACAGGAAAAAGACAACATTATCATGACCACTCTCCATCCTTTCCTCCCACTTCTATCACCCATGGGGCGCAAGCGCATTACAGGCTCCTGTCCAATATAAAGTGGATGTTTCTCATTCTCCAAGAGCATTTGTCTATTTCCTCCTCTACCCCATAAAATCAACAATTCCTATGATGTCACAGCAGAATGGTCTCTTCTTCTGTGCCTCTTTCTTGCCTCCGCCCTCCACCATTCCCAAGCCCAGAGGGTCAAGAAGCTTCAAGATTGCTCAAGGAGGTATATATCATCGAGAATCACTATAGCACACTAGTTGTGTTCACACACTGGGGGTTGCACCACATTCTAGTTCAGTGAGCTTGGAATATCCAACCTCTTGAGCCTTGGTTTCCTCATCTGTAAGATGGAAAAATAAGGTAGTTGGAAACGTTAAATGAGATAACACATACAGAGCTCTGAGCACCAGGCCTGGAATATATTTGGTCTCCACTAATGAATCTCCCGGGATTGGTTTATCTCACTATTTAATGAATGCCTGCTCTACACTGGGCCAGTGCAGGGTGTTGGATCTGAGAGGAGAACTAAGGTAGAGATCCTGTCCTTGGGGAACTAACAGAGCCAATGGGCAGAAGTCAAGTTTCACCTTGCACTTAAATATCTAAGTCGGAAGGGTTATAAGGAAAGAGCCATTTAATTTTGCACCCAAAATAAACTATTAATATAGTAATTTCCAGAAATAGGTGGGACTGGGGAACAGAGAGTCATTTTGAGGAAAGGAGGACAATTTTGGTCTCCAACCATTCGGGCCATCTCAGCCCACAGTGTTCCAGGCCAAAAGTGGCCTGTAATTTGAGAACCTCACTCCCCAGAGTGGTTCAGCTTGGGGCAGTTTTTCCCAACACTACCCTTCCCACAAGCCTGTGTCACCCACGAAATGACCCAGGCCCTTTGGAAAGGAAGTGGGTGTTAAAGCCGTTCAATTTCCTACCCCAGTTGAGATGCCCAGTGTTCAAGGAGACACAAGAAAGAAGAGAGGGGGGTTAATCTCACCCTCTGTATCAGGAAGGATTAGCAGAGCTTGTGGCGTGAGGAGGGGGATGGAAAGGGAAACATTCTCTAGAAGTCATCCTCTCCCTCCCCCCAGAGCACACTCTCCCACGGCACTCCTGGCATTTGCATCGAGACTGCTCATTGATAACAGTATTAGTATTATAATATTAGTATTATAACAATATTCTGCATCTCGTGGCATTTATCCTGTTGCTCCTCACTAGCCTGCTTCCTTTTGCCTTGGACACTAGGCAGAGGCCATTCCTTATATTTCCCTAAGTCCCCCAGGTCTCCTGAGGATGCTGAGCACATCCCATGTCTGTGTGCACGTACGGGGGTGGAGCATGTGTGTGAAATATCTGACAATCAAAACACAGAAAGAAGTAGAGAAAAGAAGAATCTAAGAAGACAATGGAAACTTAAATCATATACTCACTGAAAGGACACACACACACACACACACACACACACACGGGAACATGTTTTCACGCTCTAAGCTCCTAGCCTGAGTACAAATACATCTTTGCTCCTTTTCTGAGGATGCCATTGTTACATAATAGCAATGGTTTGATCTTTGGAGTAAAAATGATAGAGGTTAAAAATTCCTAATCTAGGGGCTGGCTTGGTGGCATAGTGGTTAAGTTTGTATGCTCTGCTTCAGCAGCCCAGGTTCGGATCCCGGGTGTGGACCTACGCACCACTCATCAAGCCATGCTGTGGCAGGCGTCCCACGTATAAAGTAGAGGAAGATGGGCACGAATGTTAGCCCAGGGACAATCTTCCTCAGCAAAAAGGGGAGGATTGGCAACAGATGTTAGCTCAGGGCTAATCTTCCTCACCAAAAAAAAAAAAAAATTCCTAATCTAATATTCACTAGCTGTGCGACCTTCTGTAAGATGTTAACCTTTCCTGACCTCCATTTCTTCCTCTGTAAAATGGTCAGTATCGTGGCGAGGCGAAGAGCATAGACTTTGGGTAGATCTACTGATTATAGCTCTATGATCCTGGGCTGCTTATGCTGAGCCTCAGGTTCTCCACGTGCACAGTAAGGATAATAATCTCTCTCTCATGAGGATCCTGTCAGGAGTAAGTAAGATGGTATAAATAAAGAGAAAGTATCTGGAACATAGTGGTACCCCTACATCCAGCACTCACGCTCACACTTCCAGGCTCCCAGCAAGAAGAAGGGAGTCTAATGAGGGGATGGTGCAGGAAGGATAGGCAAGGGGGAAGGGAGGAGGGCAGGGTCGGGCCCACCTTTGTCTTTGATGAGGCTCTGCACCTCCTGCTTGACGCTGTCGTTCCAGTGGGTGACGTCCACGTGCAAGGCGTAGTCACAGCAGCTCTTCCCATCGGCCCACTCTCGCCACTTCTCATAGGCCTCCGTCAGGCTGGACTCAGGCTCGGGCACCACGTGGTCAACTGAATGATAGAGGCCCCAGATGGGTGACTCACTGACACAGGCTTTGTTTCCCTCTGTGCAGGTCTGCTCCTGCTTGCTTCGCTAAGACTGCAAAGTCTCTATTTCCTGAGCATGGAGTTAACCTTAGAAAGTGTTTCCTGGTAGTTTCAAGGTGGCTGATGATTTAATTGTCACTTGGCTATGTGATCTTGGGCAAATTACTAGCTTCTCTAAACCTCAGTTTTCTCGTCCTTAAAATGGGCAGGAAGTGGGGTGGGAGACAGGGTGTAAGAGTGCCTTCCTTCTAAGTGTATTAAAAGATTAAATGGGCAAATGCATGTAAAGTGCTTCACCTGATACCAGCACATGGTAAGTGCTCAATTAATGTTAGCTATCAACGAGTGCCTACTCTGTGCCATTATTACCAGGACTGTGGAGAGTCACTACTGGGGATAAGAGTCCGACTCCCTTTTATGGGCAGAAGGAGAGGTTTGAAAGTTATGTGAGGGCACAAGAGAGTGACATCCTCGTGCTTACTGCCTTAGGAAAGAGCCGGTGTCAGTTAAGTGAACCTGATACTAGGCCCACAGATCTTATTTCCACGTAAACTTTTTGTCAACAATATGATTTCTTTGAGGTCCAAACCTACGCTTGCCGTACCTGCAACCGTGGATAATATTATTAAAAATAATAACATTTACACAAATAACATTGGTGAGGATAAAGCAAAAGTTACACTCTCATAGTTCCCCTTGGCAGTGAGGGAAAGTGTGAATTGGTACAACTTGCCTAAGAACAGTTTTGAAATAGATATCAAAAACCCTGATTTTTTCATACCTTAACTCAATGATTATTCTTGTGCCTAAGAATTATTCCTAAGGAAGTAAACATGGCTGTATGCTAAATTGGGGTTCTAAAGATGTTTACCACTGTAGACAATATTCATATATTTATGTAAGTGAGAAACTAGAAATAATCAAAGTCTTTAACAATAGGGAAGTTTGTTTACATACAGAAATTGTGATAACTTCATAAAATAGACATTAGGCATCCACTTTAAATGTGGTAGAATAAAAATAAATGAATGCAAAGACATCCATGACATATTATTTGGCGAAAACGGTAGGCTAAAACACAGTATGTCTATTATGATCCTGTTTTCATTAAATAGGAAAAAAAATATAGCCACACTGTATATAACAGTGATGTGGGATTTATGGGTTTTCTTTTCTTTTTGCATATCTAGCATTTTTAAATTATCTGCAAAGGACATGTATGCTTTTGTGGTTCTTTATATGCTTTTCTCCCTTTTCACTTGGAACTCTGATCTTCCTCCTGCTCCTTCCCTAATGCAGAGGCCAAGCATAATACACACGTCCAGGATACTGAACAGGTCCAACTCCTTGCCCAGATGGCAGAAAGCCAGGCCAAGATCACTCATTTCCTCCACCTTCTATCACAGGCAGCCCAAGTGCACTTATCGGAAAGCAAACGCATGGAGCTACCGATGCTTGGACCTACACCAGCGCCTTTGTGGGCAGGCAGCTGCTGAGAAGTCAGCTGGCTTCCTCCCTTCAGCTGGAGAAAAGCTTTGCTCTCCCTGAATTGCACCTTTTATGGCCTTGATGCAATTTTCCTGGGCTTCCACACCCAACTATCTGAAGCTGAACTCTGCTACTGCTCCCATCAAAAAGAGGCAAAGGACAGTGAATACTTCTACAGCCCAGGCTGTTCTGTGTTCTTGGGTGGATGCATACGGTGTTAAAATAAACAGTGCTCTTGCTGACCAAGGTTGGGGCCATCACTGGGATGGGACCCAATTCATCGGGATTCCTTTGGGACAGGAAGGACTGCCCTGGAATGCTATCTCTTTGGTAATCCAATGGCATGCAAATCGCTAGGGTTCTTTGGGATTGCAATAATTACCAGGGGAAAAAAACAAGGGAACCCACCCCGACAGCTTGCCTAATCTTAAAGGTATGAATTGGTCAAAATACAGACCAGATAACACTAAATGCCATTGCAGTCTACTAATTTCTCAGCAACTGCAAGTCTCCATTTTCATTCTCTCTGGGATGCTTTTAGCCTCATTTACACGGTTCTGCCTGCGTTCTCTGCCCCTTCTGCCTCAGACTCCAGCTGAAAGTTCTGAAATAACTTTTTCCCCACTCTTCACAACTTTTTAGATCCACTTTTCCCAGTGATTGGCCCAGAGATGATAAATGCTGATTCCCCACCCATGGCACACCCAGCCCCTGCTCTAAGCAGACAAGAAAGGACGGCTGCTTTCATGGTCATGAGCTTCATCAATCTCCTCTATGTAGTTAAGTTACAGTGAGCTGCCAATGTCCTCACTGCAACCTGCTTTTCTCAGGTCCCATCAGGCAGAAAGTCTATAAACTGGATTGAGGGAAGTGTACAAGTTATCATCAGAGCATTGTGGTTAACACATTAGTTAAACACTCACTTCTAGGGACCACTTACACACTTTACATGAGTGTGTCAAGTCAGGGGACTTACTGATCATGGTAGTGCCCCCTGCTAAGGCAGCCTTCGTCCCTTGAAAGAAGTCATCCACTGTGGTCATCCCCTTGTACGGCATCTGGAAGTGAGTGTGGACATCGATGCCTCCAGGGATCACCATCTTCCCATTGGCCTCGATAGTCTTCACTCCTCCAGGGACAATCAGATTGTCTCCAATTTGCCTGGAGAGACAGTGAAACAACTGGCAATTTAAAGAACAACTTCCAAGACGAACATAGTATTATAAGGATTTTAAACACTGTAACTTATATTTATCTAAGTGGTCTTTGCAAATGATTTACAAGCTTAGCAATCTAGAAACAAATAAAGATAAGTACACATAGAGAAAACAATTTTTATAGACACAGAACAATCCAGTACGCTGTTTGGTGGGACCATATGTCCTGGCTTAGTACTGTAACCCCTGTGGTATGACAGTGTCTAGAATATAGGGTGTGTAATAAATATTTTTTAAAAAAATAAATGTTTTTATTATTCCCTTCATTTTGTTCTTTATTTAAGGGTGAGAGGTAACATTTGGAGAAGGATCAAAAGAGCGTAAAATAATGAATTGTTAGGAGAGATTGAAGGAAGTAGTGAATCATTTAAAGAACAGGTGTGTGAACTTAGCTATCCTCTAAGTGGGTTCACCTGTGCTCCTAACAAAAGGCATCTGTCTGGGTCATTTCACACCTCAGTCCTGACTCCCAATTCCATTCTTCCCTGATAATTTATCTGTCAGCCACAGGTGTAGGCAGATTCGCAAAGAGGAAGTCAAAGATGCAGATGCCTCCGGCACCAGCTGCTTTTGTGTGGTCAGCATCTCAGCAGAAGCTTCAAGCCAAGGAAGGTGATTATGATAACCTCCTCCAGACACAGCTTCACCCAGGAAGCTTCAGAGTACCCCAGGGAGGAAGAGAGGGGGGACTCAGCTGGGGAGGAAGCCAACGAGTATCCCAGAAGCACATTACACACGGCAAGTGACAAATACAACTACTCCTGACACAATGTTACCTCAGGGACCATCCCATGTTGCTTGGTTTACATGTGATTTCACATCCTCGATTTAAATGGCCAGTTAAACTTGTCCAATATGGATTCCAGGTAGACCTATGATTCATAAGCCTCTCCATTATCATAAAACATCTCCTACCTTGGGGATGCATGTACCCCACTGCCAGTAGCATGCATACTTTCTCCTTTTGTTCCTAGCCAACTAAGAAAGACACTCTCTTGGAGCAGTAAGAAGTCTACACTGGCCTGCCAAAATTCAAGTTCTACAACTAAAACAAAGTATTCCTGACATCTCGAAGAGTTCAACCTCACCACATCACCACTGGGCCATTCCAGAGCCACCGCAATTCAAAACACACTGTGGAAAAAATGCAGCCTCTGATTGTCACCCCACTCTAGTCCAGATACTAGCCAGTTGTGTTCTTGTTTTTCTCCCTCACTGATTTTCCTCTGAGGGAAATTGAGAACCACCAGCATGAAGAGTAGCCTGGCCTATGTGTTGTGCGTGTGTGTGTGTGTGTGTGTGTGTACGTTATGTTTCCACCATTTTGACAACTCACATAACACCAAGTCTGAAATAGAAATGCCTTCCCCCCTTTTCTCCACTGAACCAATCAAGGTCACATTAATCTTTGAAGGCTCAGCTTCTATCTCCCATCCTTGGTCAAGTTTCTCCTGACAGCCAGCTCTAATAATTAAGAGTGTGCCTCTGCCCTGGATATGGGCTATCTGAATTCACAATCTTGATTCTGCTAGTTATTAGCTTTATGACTTTGGCCAAGTTACTTAACCTCACCATGTTTCAATTCCTTCAGCTGTAAAATGTAATAAAAATGCTTCCTCCATGGGTTTATTGTATAGATTAAATGTTAATATGTATTAAGCCCACAGGACACTGTTAGGCACATAAGAATTCAATAAATATCAGCTATTATAATTAATATCCATCTTAATCCCATATAAGCCTCTCTTTCCTTTGAATCTCATTTCTTCTATTAATTTAATACTTGATATTGATATTATCTGGTAATATTATGTCCTTTGCATACATACAGATATCTCACTTTCCTTAAAAGACTCTAAGGTCCCTGGGGGGAGAGAGCATGACGCTTTGGGTTCCCCAATGACATCTACCATAGCATGAGACATAGCATGTATCCAGTGCCTAGAGGACTGCCTTGCACATAGCAGGCACTCCATAAATATTTACAGACAGGCAAACAACTATGTAACAATGGGAGGAAATTATTTCTGTTTTTATGCTCTATGAGTTAAGAACATTTTTGGAGATACATAAAATTTCAGGATTGGATGAAGATCATGTTTATCCACCCTCTCGCCACCTCCAACACACACATCTGATGGTTAAATTCTTTCTATAACATCCTTGGCAAGTGGCCTTCCAGTCTATTCTAACAGAGATGGCAAAAAGGATTCATTTTACATATTCAACTCTGGTAGTAGATGCCTGAATCACTATGTGAAGATGGATTTGGAGCCTGAAGTTAAGGCTCAGCTGCAAAAAGCTCTGTGATCAATTAGTGATGCCTGCCATGAGCTCCGAGAGGAGGAAGAAGCATTAGGTACTAAATTTTTTTCCATCTCTAAAAATCTCTAAATTATGGGAACTCACTACCTCCAAAGAGAGCTGACTGTATACAATAATTTTTTAGCAAGAGAAAAATATAAAATCAATTGTGGCTTATATTTTGAAGAAATTATTGTTTTACATTGGTTAGCTTGCCTATTATTTCCATTTTTCTAATTTCTAATTTGAAAAAGTACTTATGTAAATTGGCAAGGCAACTAAAGACAAATATCTTCATTCTTGCATTTGTTCTTTCATTCACTCATTCATTCATTCATTCAATGTATTTGATTAATATGCTGATCTTTGGCAAGTTATTTACTTTCTCTGTTCCTTCTCCTCATCTGAGAAGAGGGTAATAACAGTAGTTATTTCATAGGATTGCCGGCAGGTTAAATGAGATAAGGCATGTAAAACATTTAACACAATGCCTGTACATACTCCACACTCAATGAGAAGTAGTTTTTGTCAGAGTCTCCCTGTGCTAAGCACTGGGTTAACTGCTGGGGAGATGGAGATGGACAAGATACGGTCCTGCTCTCGAGGGGGCCAACAGTGTCAGAACTGCTGTGACTGATAGAAGCACAGCGTATTTTGAAAGCTCATAGAAGGGGAGTCTAGCCTAGATTTGGGGGCTGGTAAGGAACACCTGCCTACAGAAAGTTATATCTAAGGCAAGTCTTCAAAGATAAGTAAGAGATCTCCTATAACCAGAATCTTAAACTAGCCAATGAAGTTGAATAATACAAAAATAAAACCAAACGAGGCCAGGGATGGTTAATAGGATGGATTGGATACACCAGTCTTATATAATAGCTTATCAGTATGGGACGTACCTTGCTTTATGTGATGAAAGCCTATGTGTAGATCAAATCCTTTTGTAAAGGTCTCTATGCCAAGAAACTGTACATAAAGGTGACCTGGCTGTGCTGCCTACAGGCATCCAATAGCATATCATTTTGTAAAGTAATTATACATCCCTAAAGTATCTATTTGGAAATCTTGCCTGAAATGTATGTCCTATTGTGCTCTCCCCATCTAAGTCTGACCTAAGCGAAGGCTCAGTTTAAATGCCCTCTCCACCCCAAAACCTTCCTCTGAAGGGATTTCTCCCTTCTGTGCACTTCTAAATCACTTATCCTCTTTTGAACTCCTTTGGTACCTATGACACAAGTCCTTTTATTTTTAGTGTGCTGTAATTTGTGCACATTTTTCAGTAACCTTAAGGACGGTGGTCATATCTTCCACTGCTCCAAGATGCATAGACTGGCCATCATTGAAGTTTGCACAGAGGCCCTCAGCATCATTCAGTTGATTGAATTCAGATTTTTCACCTCATTCATGTAATCCAAGTGAAATAAGGCTAGCTCCCACTTTTAAAGGATTATGTGCATCCAGACTAAGGGCTAAAATAAAGACTCATTTTTAAGAAGGAGAAATAAAATACAGAACCAACAGTTTAGTAAGCAAAAAAGAAGCAAGCTTCTTTCTGAGCCTGTAGTGAAGAGAGAAAGTACAAAAAGACAAAGAGAAGCATTCTATATACGTACTTTATTAAGCCATCCTCCATGTAAATATCAGCATAAAAGGATTGATCATCATTGACGATTCTGCCTCCCTTGATAAGAAGACGGTCACTCTAGAAAAGGAGAAAAACATGAGTCATTCTCATAGCTGGGATTTCAGGGAAGCGTGGTCTGCCAAAGCTTTCTCAATGCATTATCCTAAAGGTCTAGAAGGAACACGTTTACTTAAGACATCTGTGTGCTCAACGCACTCAAAGTTTGAACTGGGTGTATTTGTTGGGGATCCAGTCTTTCTTGTTTTCCCCTAATTCAAATTATTCTGGAGTTTCACCTCTCGCTTCTGCAACCTATCATAGCCACTGAGAAACATAGCTACTTGAGAGAAGACATGCTTTATATAATCTTTTCTGGTTCAGTAAGCACTAAATATTTTCAGACGGATAACATATACCCCAGTGCCTAGCACCCTGTCTGCTATTCTGTTGGCACTCAATAGTGATTCTTAAAAATAGAACTTAGGATCCAACATACAATGAAACAGCCTTTAAAAGTCTTTATAATGACAGGGGGATCGTGTTTTCTTTAAAATTCAGGACACTTATAGATGTATGCACACATACACACGAAGTTGTAGAATGTATAAGAAAACCACGCGATGGAAAAAAGACAAAATGTCTATGCAGAAATTATGCAGGAATCATACTTTCTTCATTATGCTCAGTATCTCTCACATTTTCTGAAATGCATTTTTTTATTGCTTTTGTTATAAACAATTGCTTTTCTTATGAGAAAGTCGTTTTAAAAATTATAACTTAGATGAAGTTTGCATAAGTGAGCCAACTGGAAACAATGCACATACACTCTGAGGTTATTAATAAAATATCAACATATTTTATATATAAATCAGAAGAGGAACAAATCAGTATCAGCTTTAGAGATCACGGATTTCATTAAATGAATGGAGCTTAGACTACAGCAAGAGGGATGGATGCAGATTTGTTGGGGTCAGGGGGAGGAGAGAATTCTCAGAAGCCTGGTTGAGTGGAACTACAACATGAAAAAAGAATGGTGGGCTGGGGTTTGTCAAGAATTCAACTTACAGACTTCAACGCCATCCATCTATCCATCCATCCATCCATCCATCCATCCATCCATCCATCCATCCAACCATTATTCATCCATCCACCCATTCAGCAAATAATTATTTAATATTTATTATTAAATAGGTGGGGGGGGTGCAGTTGTGAATGAGCCACATCAGGTCACTGCATTTATGGAACTTAAAGGGGAAGTCTGACAATAAAGAAAGTCAACAAAACAAATAAAACAATGTAAAATGGTATTAAGTGTCACAAAATATAGGGGAATGGGCTTGTTTAAATAGAGGCTGGAAAAGGCCTTTTTGGGGAAGATCAAATAAGATGGGGGTGGGGATGGAGACCTGCAGGCAGAGAGAATAGCGTGTGCAGATGCCCTGAGGTAGGAATAAGTTTTGCTTCTTTGAAAGCCTGAAAAAGATCAATGTGGAGGGAACTTAGGGATCAAGGAGGGAAGTGGCATGAGACAAGGTGGGGGGTAGCACTGGCTTTCACAGAGGACAATGGTTTTATGGGGAAGGAAGCCCCACGGTAACAGGCTGACTTCTGGCTTCAGAAATAAGAGAGGGTGAACAGAGCCAGAAAATGAGAACTGAGCCTAGGGCTCCACGTGGGATCTAGCAAATTACCACTTAGCTTCTCCTGCTTCCAAGGTATTGCGTGAGAGTAAGAAATTTCATCATGCCATATTGTCAGGGGAAAGGATTTTTAAAAGATACACATCGATGAGACATTTAGAAAAGAACCTACCGATGTGGCAAGGAAGATGTGCCAATGAGGTCAAATAGAAACTCCCACCACACATGATCACAAACCCCTCATGATCTGGCCTCTGTCTGTCTGTCCACCCTCATTTCTATCATGTATTTTATACAGTGGCAAAACTAAGAAACATGGAGTTCTTGTCACGTATCAGGCTCTCTGGCCGCTAAGCCTTTGCAAAGACGTTCTCTCTGCCTTCTCTGTTCAGCTGGCACTGGACTACCATCTTCTCCTTTGTCAGGCCTCCAGTCAAAGGATTTCTCCCGTAAGACACATTCCCTGACTTTCTAGCAAATTTCACCTGCTCCCATTGCAATTTAGTTCAAACAATTATAATGATCTACAATAGCCGGTTTATTGTTCAGTTGTCTCCTGACTAGAACAAAGACTTCTTTAGTCTTGGAACCATGTGTCTTTTGATCTTTTTACCTTAGTTCCTGGAGCCCATCCTAGCCAGCTGTTAAATATTGGTCAAATGAACACGTGAAGGGTGGGACACAGGAGGGTGTATCACATCGGTATGATGGGAAGGCCAACTGAGTCAGAAAATTATGTGAACTGGCCAGGAAATTGGACTTTTAAGAAAAAATTTTTTTTAAATTGAACGCTGTCGTAATCTGCTGCTTTAACAGTGACTGCAAAATCATAGGAGGCAGTCCTAGGACTGTGCTTCCCAAACTAGGGTGCACACTAGAAAAATATAGATTCCCAGGCCCTGCCCTAGGCCACCAAATCTGTATTTTATGAGCTCCATAAGTGGTTCTTATGCAGCCCTCAGCCAGCCCAGTACCAAGTCACAGACCAGCATCTGGAATCACCGCCCCAGGCACAATTCTGTGTGTCTATAAAGGCGACAGAAGCATCTCCAGCAGGAGCTTCGTAATATAATAATCTTGGTAACTATAAGAGTTCCCTCTCATAGCTCAGTGCTTTTCTGATGTTCTTTATCTTTCCAGCAAAGAGCTGAAGTATGCTGGTTTTTGGAAAGGGGCCAACTACTGCCTGAACTGAGTCCAGCTATGAAATACGACCATCCTCCTGTCTAGGGACACTCAGACCTGAGCCACTGGCGTGATCATCACTTCCTTCAACAAGCATCAAATGTTAGCAAAGGGGCGAAAGCTATCTCAGGCCCCATGAACATCAGGGCGATAGTAAGACGTGAGCCAAGTGGAATTAACATCATTGAGATGGCGTCATTGGAAACTCTTCAAATGCTAATTAAATAAATCTTCTCTGGCTCAATGATCAGGAATTAAAACAGATAGAGCACAAAGATGAATTATAGGCCTGGTGTATGCTTCAGAGATGGGAGTAACAAGACCCTGCTCTATGGACTATAGTATTAATATTATTATCTGTTTTCATCATGCAGAGCAGAGATAGCCAAACCTCAACTCGCAGAGCTCAAACAAATGCTGCCCCTGGGGGTCTCAGCTTGTCCTCCTAACTTTTATTAAAGTGGTTAATAAAACTGCCTTATTAATTTTAACTATTTCCATGCATGTGGGGACCACTACAAAGGGCAGCCTGGGCAAACTCTCATCAGACACAGAAGAGTCTGAAAGGCAAGTCTTGGGCTTGGCATTGAAGAATGATGTAACTACTGACCCCTCCCAGGCCATATAAAACCAAACCTCACTGGTTCCAGGTTACAGAACATGCGTGTCTATGAATAAGGACCAGCCTTACAGAGTAAGATAGGCCAGGGTCAAAACCCAACAAGACAAAATGACAGCTATGATTAAAGATCATCCTCGATGATGTTAGAAAGGACTGGGGAACTGGGCTTTGTGGGGCTCTCTACTTTCTGTTCCCAGCAGCTAAGGCTGTCGAGCATCCATGAGCTAAAGTCCAAGAAGGTAGAATGGTCTAGTTTGGAGTCTACCAATGTTTCTCATGTAATGATATATATAAAGAATGATGGCATGTCTAGAGCACACTGGGGTAATCTGGAGGGTATTCGGAATCCCAAATGAAGCTATTCTGAGCCTGAAGCCACCAGCCGAGGACTCTGGCTGCCTTAGGCCCTGCACAGCCACCCAGGGCTGAGTGCAGTAATGTCTTGCAGCGGGGTACCAGGTGTACCAGCTGGCAAGGTTGGGTCCAGCTGGGTTCTCCCACTACTGAGAGAACCAGGCAGACCACTTAACTAGGTGTGTGACCTTGAGTTAGGACTAAACCTCTCAGAACCTCAGTTTTTTTATCCACTCAGAGTGGGTAATAGGACCTAGCTCACCTCACAGGGTGGCTGCCAGGAATAAATGAGGGGGAGAAAAGTGTGTGTGTATGCACATGTATGTATATACACACATATATAAAATATCTAGTGCCCAGTAAACACCTCTAAATATTAGTTATATTGATTCCACTCATATTATTTACAGTGCTTTAAATTATTTTTAAAAGCCTTAAATTAAGAAGTATATTGGACAGGGACTATCCTTCCGATTTTCTACATGGGGAGGTATACACAGAGAGGTGAGGAACTTTCTCCAAGTGACAGAGCTGAGTAGTTCCAGTTGGAAGCAAATTCAGGTCTCCTACCTCTTTGCATGGGACTGCTTTCCACCTGAGGCCACTCTATCAATGATCCTTAAACCTTATGACAAGTGGTTCTTTCTGACAAGGCTCTCTTCTCTGAAAGTGAATCTGACTGTTCCGGTGCTGAAACTGCTAACCAGTTCGCTGCAGTAAGTAACTTAGGAAGCCAGTAACTTTTAAGCCACTATTTATAAAATCAGTGCATTAAACCTGCCACTGATGGCCTGAATGTGTTAATGCAGCTTATAAAGGGATCTAATTTACAATCCAAGGTAACACAGGCCCTTGAAGTCGGATCAAGTCCAACCTTTTTCCCTTCACTAGGGTATGATAATGATTAGATAAATCAACTATAAAAAAATTAGGAGTTTGTGAGAGACAGAGAGAGAAATGAAGGAAAGGAGTGAGGAGAGAGAGAGGAAGAGAAGGAGGGATGAAGGAGGAAATAAATTGTAACAAGGGCTGGTGTTAAGGTTGAATGTGATTCAAACTAGAATAGAGAATGACGGGACAGAATCTTGAACTCAAGCCTGTTGGAGATATTCGTTCCCATTTTAGTATTCCTCATCTAGTCTTCAACTTAAAGAACTTAAATTACCACCTCTGTCTCTCTGAGCTAATGAGAATACGCCTCCCAGAGAACCCAGAGCTGTCCGGGGATTTCTTCCCAGTCAATAAAGTCAGCCTGAGAACAGTACTTAAGACACATC